CCCCTTCCTTGTTCCTCAGCTTCCCCCAGGAAGGTAAAAAACAAGGGACTACAACGGTTGGTTTTCCACCATACCCCCTCCCTTTTGTTGATGGGGTTTGGTTTTGGTTTGTTTGTTTTATTGGGTAGAGACAATCTTTTTTGGGGCCTGTTGGGTCCCCAGGATGGGTTTTCCTAATTCCTGAGGGCTAAGCGGGTTCCTCTTTGGCCTTCAGGGCCCTTCACAAAGTTGTCTTTTGGGGGATTTACAGGCATTGGAGGTTTTTCACCCTGGCCGGGCCAGTTAACTTACTTTTAGGGGTGATGGAGACTGGGCGCAATTCCCTTTACCCCTTTTGCCCCTTTAGTTGTAAGTTAAAAAAAAAATTTCTCAGGAACTTTGGCTGATTGGGAAATCCATGACTTCTAAAGGGACTGGTGGCCCAAGGCCCACTTTCCTAACCAACCCAAGTTCTTTTCAGAATGGGCCTCTCTTTGTAAGCTGGGGTTGTTCACTGAGTTCAAATGGGGACCTCCTTTTTCCCCTTAAGGTTTCAAAGCCCCCTTTTTTACCGTTGGTTTCCCTTTAGAAGTTTCCACCTCCATTTGGGGTTGTCCCCTTCCCTTTCAACCATCCTGGGGCTTTTTTTCTAACTTTCCCCTTCCATCTCCTCCAAGGGGATTGCCCAAGGCCTTCACCCTCAAACCCAAAACAAAAAAACCACACCAACATAAACCCTTTCTCTTGCCAAAATCCAAAATGACTTTTTTATTTATTATTATATTTATTATTTTTATTACCAGGTCTTATTTTGTTCATGGGGGGCGGGTTGGGGAAAGGGTTGGTTAAGGGGTGGTTACCCAAACGGAAAACTCTTTGCCCATGCCTGGATTTCCAGGATTCAAAAGGTTAATCCTCCTGGCCTTTGGGGCTCCCCCAAAGAGTTGACTTTAGGAAAAACCGCTCCCCACCATGGCCCTGGGTAATTTTTTTTTCCTTAGAGACGGGGGGGTTTTCTCCCACTTGTGGGTTGTACAACGGTTCTTGGAAACTGCTGGGTGGGCTCAAAGCCCCCCCAATCTGGGGGGCCCCGGCCTGGGGCCTCCCCCCAAAAAAAAGGTTAACTGGATTTAACAGGGGGTGAGAACAACAAGGGGGGCAACCCGGGTCCACTTTTCTTTAAAACTTTTTAAACTTCTATTTTGGTTAAACTTCGTGCCCCAGGGCATATTCTTTTAATTATTTCAAAAACCATTTTCCAACTCATTTTGGGGGTGAAATGGGGGAGTAACCACCAGGCTAATAGACAATGGGAAATTTTATTATATGAAGTTGGGCATGAATTTTCCCAATTTAAGTATTAGGAAGATTAGGGGAATCCGTTAAATAAGTTTTTTACAAAGGAAGGGATCAGAATTGAGTTTGGTTTATGGATGGATTTGATATGGGATTAAATTTAGTATATAAGAAGATGGCTGAGGAAAATTGGGATTAATGGGGAAAAAAATAAGTGGGAAGGTATAAGGCAAAGGGGGCTTACACCATGGAGAAACATTATATTAAAAATATTCTTTTCCTTGCTTAAGGAAAATAAATAGTTTATTATTGGAAAAAAGGCTTTTCCCCAGAACACATCTTCTAAAGAAATTGTGGGGGGCCGGGACAAGTGGGCCCTCACGCCGTATCCCCAAGCACTTTTTGGAGAGGGGCGAGGTGGGGAGGATCACGAGATCCAGAGTTTTCAAAGACCCCCAAGGCTGGGAACCATATGATGGGAAAACCCCCCCCAATCTTTTCTTGCTTAAAAAATACCCCAAAAAATTTAGGCTGGGGGGCATAGGTGGACATGCCAAAAAAACCCTTGTAATCCCAACTTTACTTCAGAAGGGGGGGCTGAGGGCAGGGAAAGAAAATTCAAATTGAACCCCAAGTGGGGTGGGGGGTGTAGGAGTGAGGAATCGCCACTACTGCCACCCTCCGTCCGGGTGGAAACAGCGAGACTCCATCTTCAAAAAAAAAAAAAAAAAGGGAAAAGGGAAAAGAAAAGAAAAAGAAAAAGAAAATCCAATTTTAGGCTGGGAGAGATGGCTTATGACTGCAATCCCAGCACTTTGGGAGGCCAAGGCCGGTGGATTGCTTGAGGTCAGGAGTTGGAGACCAGCCTGGCCAACATGGTGGAACCCCATCTCTACTAAAAATACAAAAAATTAGCTGGGTGTGGTGGTGCGTGCCTGTAGTCCCAGCTGCTCAGGAGGCCGAGGAACGAAGAATCGCTTGAACCTGGGAGGCAGAGGTTGCAGTAAGCTGAGATTGCACCACTGCACTCCAGCCTGGGCGACAGGGCAAGATATCGAAAAGAGAGAAAGAGAGACAGAGAGAGGGAGAGAGGGAAGAAGGAAGGAAGGGAGGGAGGGAGGGAGGAAGGGAGGGTCCAATCTTAGAGAGATGTGTCTCCAAATTGATTAGTGTTATCTACCCTGCCCACAACCTCAGAGAGGGAAGATTGGTTTCCCTGGCAGTAAAGTGAAGGTAAGATTGTTTTCCAAGGATGAAAATACTTTGGTTGGGTGTGGTGACTCACTCCTTAATCCCAGTACTTTGGGATACTGAGGCGGGAGGATTGCTTGAGGTCAGGAGTTCGAGACCAGTCTGGCCAACATGGTGCAACCCCATTTCTACTAAAAATACAAAAATGAGTTGGGTGTGGTGGTGCTCATCTGTGGTCCCAGCTACTTGGGTGACTGAGGCAGGAGAATCACTTGAACCCAGGAGGGGGAGGCTGCAAGGAGCCAAGATCACGCCACTGTACTCCAGCCTGGGTGACAGAGCGAGACTCCATCTCAAAAAAAAGAAAGAAAAATCATCTGTTCAATGGAAATGTTAAGAAAAAAAACAGAACGAAGGAAAAAGTGCTTCAATAGCACTATATCTATGTTTATGTACAGGAAAGCGACAGTGAGGTACCTTCTTCAAGCTCTAATAAACTGGCACTAAAAATTAAACTAAATGGATGTGAGCACTTTGCTGGGTGCAGTGGCTCACACCTGTGATCCCAACATTTTGTCAAGACCCTGTCTTAAAAAAAAAACACAGCATACACCAAATTTTGTTAGAAAAGAAACTAAGGGCCAGGTGCAGTGGCCCAGACTGTAATCTCAGCA